CTGCCAGCCTCCTCCCCCATGGGCTGAGCCCTCCCGCCTCCTGCAGGGTGGGGTCCCCTCTCTGGATGGCCATGCCCCCCTCCAGCCTGGGTGTCCTGGTGGAAACGCTGCTTCAGCCAGACGCAGTTCTCCAGCTCAGGGCAGGGGGACCCGTGGGAATTCTCTGCCCTGGGCTACGCAGGTCGGGGGGCAGAGCAGGTGGGCTAGGGCAGAGGTTCTCAAACTTTTGTTGTTGTTGGCGGGCTCCTTTTCCAGTGCAGTGTCAACCAGGGCCCCCCCAGCCGAGAAACTGATTGACAAAAGTAGATGTGTACTTCATAGAAACACTGACCCTTAGTAACGCTTTAAGAAACAGAATACAACAGCACTTCCAGATGTCAGGGATATGGAGGTGCCAGCCTGCTTCTTAGCGCAGAGCGTCTCTACCCTTGGTGTGATGGGTGACAAGCAAACTTGTAAATCATTCTCCACCAAAATGATCAGCAATACAATTTACACTGATGCGCCTGGTGACATTCTTAGTTTCAAGTGTGAACAATCCAATGGAGACAAATGCAGTCAGTTCTCTCTGCTCAGAGCTATTTTGTCAGGCTCTCTGCAGACTCAGGCACCCATCATACTGGTTGGATGGTTTTCTTTGCAGTCCCCCCCCCCCCCCACCTTCCAGTGAGGGCTAGAGAATTAATTTGTGAAACAAAGGCTGAGAAGCTGCAGAATCTAATTATGCCACACCAGCCTCAGAGACACATCAGCCAGGCTGGGTGTCGGAGAGCAGGGGAGTGCTCTTGTGCTTATGGCCCAGGGAGGGATCCCAGGACTCCTAGGTTCAACTCCCAACACCCTATGTGACCATGAGCAAGTCACTGAATCGTACTGTGCCTCAGTTTCCCCTCCCTAACCTGGATCTGTCTTGTCTGTTTAGACTGTGAGCTATGAGGGCTGGGGACTGGCTCCTACAGAGCTCAGCGCCCCCATTGTGTGTGCACTGATCTCAGTGACCCTGGAGAAAATCTGCAGTGACCCCA